GATAAGGAGGTGTTAGTGTCATTATACAAGGCATTGGTGAGACCCCATTTGGAATACTGTGTGCAGTTCTGGTCTCCCATGTTTAAGAAGGATGAATTCAAACTGGAACAGGTACAAAGAAGGGCCACTAGAATGATCGGAGGAATGGAAAACCTGTCTTATGAAAGGAGACTCAAGGAGCTTGGCTTGTTTACCTTAACCAAAAGAAGGCTGAGGGGGGACATGATTGCACTTTTTAAATATATTAGAGGGATAAATACCAGGGAGGGAGAGGAATTATTTAAGCTTAATACCAATGTGGACACAAGAACAAATGGATATAAGCTGGCTAGTAGGAAGTTTAGACTTGAGATTAGACAAAGGTTTCTAACCATTAGAGGAGTGAGGTTCTGGAACGGCCTTCCAAGGGAAGTAGTGGGGGCAAAAGATCTATCTGGCTTCAAGACTAAGCTAGATGGGTTTACGAAGGGGATGGTTTGATGAGATAACATGATCTAGGTAACTAATTGATCTTTCACTATCAGTGGTAAATAGGCCAACGGAGGGATGATAGGATTTACTATAGAGAATTTTTCCTGGGTGTCTGGCTGGTGAGTCTTGCCCACATACTCAGGGTTCAGCTGATTGCCATATTTGGGGTCAGGAAGAAATTTTCCTCCAGGGTAGACTGGCAGAGGCTCTGGAGGTTTTTCACCTTCCTCTGTAGCATGGGGCACGGATCACTGCTGGAGGATTCTCTGCATCTTGGGGTCTTTAAACCATTTGAGGACTTCAATATCTGAGATATAGGTGAGAGGATTATTCTAGAAGTTGGTGGGTGAGATTCTGTGGCCTGCATTGTGCAGGGGGTCAGACTAGATAATCATAATGGTCCCTTCTGACAGTAAAGTCTATGAGCTTTTTCAGCCTTCTGAAATAAAAAGTTGTCTTCAATGCAGGCCAAGAACTTTTTGGATAGTCTGTGCCCCACTGTGTTAGTTTCCCAACATATGTCTGGACAGTTTAAGTCCCCCATCACCAACAAATCCTGCACTTTGGATGATTTTGTTAGTTGTTTAAAAAAAGCCTCATCCACCTTTTCTACCTGGGTAGGTGGTCTGTAGTAGACACCTAGCATGACAGCACCCTTTTTTTCCCCCTTAACCAGAGACTCTCAACACGTCTGTCTCCTACATCCATCTCCACCTCAGTCCAAGTGTATACATTTTTAATATACAAGGCAACACCTCCTTCTTTTTTTCCGCTCCTATCCTTCCTGAGTAAGCTGTACTTTTCTATACCAATATGCCAATCATGTATATTATTCCACCAAGTCTCTGTAATACCAATGATGTCATAGTTGTGTTTATTTATTTATTTCTGCCCTATATAGATTTACTTTCACCTTGTACAAAAAGGGAACAGAAGCGTTTGGTCCCATGTGTCTAATTTCTGGCCAGAGGGATTGCAATGATCCCCTAAAAGAGGATTTTTAATGAACAGTCCATAAATTCAATTTGCAAATTTAAGGAAAGAAGGGGCCCATTAGGACCATCTAAGTTGGATGTTCCACATAATGCAGACCAGAGATTCTCACCTACTAATTCCTGCATCAAGTTTTTAACTTAAGGTTGAACCAAAGCATATCTTTTAGAAAGACATTCAGTCTTGATTTAATGCAAAACACACAACACTTTGATTCCCAACACAGTGCACATTTCTTCTAGCTAAAGTCAGATAGCCTCTTTGCTGAAGAGAGAGTTTTTTTCAGGCCAGAGAAAATAGTAAATTTTAAGCAAAGGAGGTCCTGTGAAAGGTGGATACTTGTTACTGCCCACCTTTGCTACTCACAGCATTACACTGCTTGTATCCTACATGAAACACAAAACTATGGCAGCATCCGTTGAGCAGCCAAGAGACCAGTGTGATTCAGCCTCCATGTGTTCTGAAGGGCTAAGCATGAATGTTGGGCAGGGATGTTCGTTCCAGTCCCATCTTCCTGGATAGAGTGGATTCTTGCCAAATATCCCCTGAGGGTCCCAACTAGGTATTTGGGACTGCTCACCTGATGCATGCTGGGATTGCGACCTCCCTGAGTGTGCTCTGGTCTGTAATACCACAGGAGACTCATCATTAGCTCCCCTGGAAGGACACAAGAGACATTTTAATGTCAGTGATGAAAACATGCACTAAAAAGTATCACCATCCAGTTTCAGCTCTCCTGTTTCATCCAGCAGCCCTTGTATTTCCATAGCACTCACCTAACTGCAGCTATACACTGATAAATATTTGATGTTGAACTGAGTTTCCTTTTGTTATAGCAACTGACGAGGTAAGACAAGCGGCGTCACTATTCCATTGTACCTTCACAACCTAATAATTATTCACAATACCAGATGAAGAGGTTACCTGTCAACATAGCCAAATGTTCGAAGATGAAATAACAATTGAGCTGGGATTTGTCAAATACACTGGTCCAAGGTTTAGGACTTGCAATATATTTAGTCCCAGACAAATGCACATCCACAAATAAAAAGCAGTATAGCATCTTAAGTTCTGCTACCTCGCAAGCTGCCTGAGGTAGGACTTGCTCTGTACCATTTGGCATACTGAGCTTCCAACTTGTTACAAACAAAATGCTTCATCTGCCAGATTACAGTCTAGAATATTTGCACAATTAGTGGTTCATGAAATACCTGCTCCTACAAAATCACATGGGAGAAACTGTTGCAAAGATCTTTAGTTGGCAGATCTGTACAGATGCTTTCAGGACAATTACTGGTTCTGAGTCAGTGATTAAAAAGATGAAATTTCAGTTCCTGTTACAAAGGTCATCATGCACAGCTCTGGGGCTCTGATGTCCTAACTCCTTCCCTTTACCAACCAAATGGTAGTGGTGAGTTATTCCATCAAATTACCATCTGGCCACCCAATTCTGCCATTAACTCATTTCCACTCAGTTCTTTGGGATTTGACGGACAGAGGGTGAACATATTATACTCTGGCTTTCTGCCCAGTACCTGTTTTGGGGTCTTCCCACAGTGCTGATATCTTTGCCACATAAGGCATAGATTTCTTTCGCGGTCCTGATTTCAAAAGGACAGTATCTCGTACCCGGATAATTTCCCCATCTCTCTCCACAGCCTGGTAACTCTTACGAATAGCTGGTTCCGGCTCATTCTACAGTGTTAGCAGGGAAAAAAAGAGGCAAAAAGTTAGGCTAGGAAATACTTTAGAACAACTAACCCAAGTCGCCTTTAATCTTCCAGGTCTTGGTTAAAGCAGTTCACTAAAAGCCCTATCCAAAATGGTGCACCTCAGCTGCAAGAGATCCCAAAGAGAATTCTCACAGCACAAACCCACACATAGCATCTCTACATCCAGAGGGTCAATTTGAAAAGTGGGTGTGAACTATTTACTAACAAACCAGTAAAAAAGCCACAGAACATTCTCCTGGATACAGTAATCAAGTGTTTTCAGAGAAAGCAGGGGTCAGCAACCTATGGCTTGCGAGCCAAATATGGCTCTCTAGAGAGCCAGATATGGCTCTTCTGGAGCCCCAACTCAGCCCCTCCCTCACTCCCTCCACAGCAGAAAGCCAGCGCTACAGCCTTACCACCCCCTGCAAACTGGAACACCAGCAGGGGGAGAAAGCCCCAACGCTCCCCACCAGTTTCAGCGTGCAGGGAACAAGCCAAGTGAAAAATGACTTTGCGTGACAGCATTTTCTTCCCTCGCACCTCCCCAGCATGGGGGAAACCAGGAACCCAAGATGACTCCTTTCGGACTGCTAATTTGTTCCCTCAGGACACACTTCCTGCAGGCCTCCCCTGCCAACCCTTCCTGGAGGGTTCCTGACGGCAAATGGGAGCAGCAGGAGGCATGTTGCACGGTGCCTGCCGAGCAGCATGAAAATCAGTGCCCTCCACTGCCTCATGCAGATCCCCATCCCCATACCAGACAGCTTGCCCCCAGCCACCTGGTCAAAATCACCCCTGCCCCTGACCAAAATCTGCTCTACCCTCTACCCCTGGCCAAACACCCCTTGCCCCAAGCCCCCTGACCAGTCAGCCTTGCCCCCTGTCCAAAATCCCCCCTGCCCTCTGCCCAGGCACCCTCTGCCCAGGAAGCCTGCCCGTGGTCACCCCCTCCAACACCCCACCACCCACCCAGATCCTGTACTCCCATCCCTATCCCATTCACTGGCAGATCTGTCTTAATGCCTCATTTGTGGCCCCAATCCAGAACCTAGGGCGGCCCACAAAATCCACTAACCTTGGAACCCCAGAAGAATAAATTTGGCCTGTGGCCTTGAACCTCAGCCCTTCTTCACTAGGGGAGTTAGGTGTTTCAGTTGGAGGTTTTTGGAGGGTTTTGTTTGTTTGTTTTGTTAGTTTTTTTTGTTTTTTTGCTCTTCACTTGTGTGGTCTTGAGATGTGAACAACTAGTTGACTGATAAACAAATGCTTATCAAGACAGTTGACACGCTAGTCGAATAGTCACTTCCTTTCTGATAGACGCAGCAAAGGGGGGGGTGCTTTGAAGTGGCAGCACCGCCTTGAAATGGGAGTCTCCAACTGGCCCAGGCTGCATGCGGCATTTCAAAGTGGCAGCGCCACATGGATCCTGGGGTCAGCTGGGGACTCCCCCACTGACTTCGGGCTCCATGAGGTGCTGCCACTTTGAAATGCCATGTGGAGCCTGACGCTGGTCTCCCCGCAGTGTTTCAAAGGGCTAGTGCCGCACGGAGCCTGGGGTCAGCTGGGGACTTTCTAGCTGACCCCAGGCTCCATGTGGCACTGCCACTTTGAAGAGCCACAGGGAGCATGGGGCCAGCAGGGAACTGCTTGAGTACCTCACAGGCCCTGTGCTCCCCATAGCGCTTTCGCCTGTTGTTACACTTCAAAGGCAGAAGTGCCCTTATCGACTAATCAAATAGTTGATGCAATTTGCATCGACTATTCGATTAGCCAATTAATCAAAATTTTACATCCCTAGTGTGGTCCCCAACTGACTTTTCTGTGGGCCAGTGGCCCCCGACCCAAAAAATGTTTCCCACTCCTGCCATAAACAAAGATAACATTGAAACCCTGTGTGTTGGACATGATATTTTACTTTATAAATAAAGCCTGGCCAACAAGCCCTCAATTGGGGTCCAGCCTCATAACACTCCTGCACCCCCCACTACACCAAACCTGAGCCCATCACACACTCAAACCCCTGCACTGAGCCCCCCATACCCTCACATCTCCAGCCCCATGTACCCCCGCATCCCCAGTCTGATGCCATAACACTCCTGCATCCCCACACACCCCAACTTGTGCCCTGAGTCCATCATACATCCCACTCTCCTGCTCTGAGCCCCTCTTGCTCCCCAACCCAGACTCCTATACTCCCACATCACCAGCCCCTTGTCATAAAATTGACAGTAGACCGCTTGAATACATGCATGAAGCTGGATTTGACAAGTTATGATGTAAACGCCAAAGAACTTTGCGAAAAGATGCAGCAGCAGAAGTCCCATTAAATAAAGTCGGTGAGTACAATGTTTCATTTATGCTATTAATTATGTCAATTATCAATAATATTAACTTGTATATTTTCAGTCATGCAAATGGGCATTCTTATACAGTTCTTTGTTTACCACTTTTTCTGAATTTGGGTTGGTTGAAGTTTGGCTCTTTGGTTTCAAAAGGATGCCAACCCTGAGATAAAGTATGGCCACCAGTCTGATGTTCAGCAAGATTATGAAGAAAACATACTGCTATTGCTTCTGTACAGTACAGTAGAGTTGCAGACTCTCCATCTTGCCAGTTTAAGAGTCAGTCCTAGTCTAAAAGCAGTACTTCCCTTTGTATTTTAAATGCATCAAAAGGGAGCATTCCTACACCTGGGCACACACAAACCTGCTTTAACATAAGTATCCTTGTGATAATAAATTTTTAATATTATCCACCCAGATATTGTAGGTTTTCAGCTGCTTCTGCTACGGGAGCCACTGGAGACTAAATTTGTTTTGAAATGTAACAGCTATGCTTCCTAAGAGACTGTTAAAACATGCAACAACATGTAATATTTCCTCTCGAAAATATAAGCAAAGAGAAATCAACTTTACCAACAGAGTGAGGCCAAGGGGTTATGACAATACAAACTGGGCTATGGCAAGACCATTTGGCTGAATTACTTGACTCCTGGCTTCTCATTCTTCCTTCAGAACTACAGCAACACATGCCCTTGTCCACAGCATGACAAATGAACAAAGAAAAGGCCTAAAAGGTGAAGGTTATTTTTTTGTTCTGCTCACACCTGACATTTTGGGCAGAAGGTTAGAGTAATGGGCTCTGCTTCTGTGGATACATCTACAGTGCAACCCCCTGCCTCAAACAAAACAAAATCCTAGGGATGACATTCCCGCTCTGAAACTCAACAAGG